AAAAAAAAAAAAAAAAAAGAGTCTGGGTGAGGCCAGTCGTGGTGCCCAGGAGAGACACCTTGATGTCTATGGCAAAAAGGAGGAGCCGACGGTAGCCAGCGATACAGACATATGTCCACAGGTGGAAAGGAGGCTGGTTCAGAGAAGGCTCTACAGACGCCAAGAGAAGGACTAGTTCTGCGGCCAGGGGAAATAGAAACAACACTTTGTAGGTCTGTTCTGTCCAACTCCTCTGCACTTGAACATCCTGCACGTACACTTTCTCTGGTCTCAGTCCACGTGACAGTTACTCTCCGTCGAGGAGATCAGTAGTCTCAACACTACAGTGCTGTGGCAGGAGGCGTGGACTCTCGTTTGACTCACAATACCTCTTCCTAGCTACATGACCTTGTATCTGACCTCTGTGAGACTCAGTTTCTTCATCTGTAAAACGGGAACTCAATAGTGATTATCTCATGAGGTTTAAGTATGGAAGGAGATAATGTCTACAATATACCTAAAGCTCTCTGAACACATTTTAAAAAGGCAACAAATGGAAGCTGTGGTTGAAGTGATTATAGCAGATGGCCCTGAGACATCTGCCATGTTTGTGGATATTCCTAGCCTCTCTTCCCGGTGGGGACCCAAGAAGAATGGGACAAGGGACATCACCTCCCTTAATTTGTCCCTTATTTGGCCACTCTGTGGTTGTCAGGGAAGGGATTTTACAGTGTCTTACCTTTCCTCAACATGCTCCCCTCTTCCCCATACGTGTGGCTGTGGGTGCACCTTCCTATACACTGACAGTCCTCACTCACCTTCTCTTTCTGGCCATTGGTATCCTGGCATTTCCCATGTACCTGCTGAACTTTCTGGGCTTGTGGAGCTGGATGTGCAAAAAATGGTTCCCCTACTTCTTGGTGAGGTTCTCTGTGATGTACAACGAACAGATGGCAAGCAAGAAGAGGGAGCTCTTCAGCAACCTGCAGGAGTTTGCAGGCCCCTCCGGGAAGCTCTCCCCGCTGGAGGTGGGCTGTGGCACCGGGACCAACTTCAAATTCTACCCACCTGGGTGCAGGGTGACCTGTATTGACCCCAACCCCAACTTTGAGAAGTTTTTGATCAAGAGCATTGAGAACCGTCACCTGCAGTTTGAGCGCTTTGTGGTAGCTGCCGGGGAGAACATGCACCAGGTGGCCGATGGCTCTGTGGATGTGGTGGTCTGCACCCTGGTGCTGTGCTCTGTGGAGAGCCAGGAACAGATTCTCCGCGAGGTGTGCACAGTGCTGAGACCGGTGAGTGAGTGGGGGAGGTGGGCGAAGCTGAACAGATCATCAGGCTGCTTCAGGACACCTGTGGGTTCAGGCACAGCTCACACTGAGGGAGACCTTTGACAAGACATTTTACTCATTTGTTTGTTCATTATTTATTCAGCAGACATTTCGAGAGATTTTAAGAGTGCTGACTATGTGCAGCAACACAGTTTTCCTGGGGTGGGAAAATTGGTCTCAGAGTGCTTAAAAAGACGCATGGCTCACGAAAATGGCAGAGACACAACTAAAACTGAGGCACCTTCATTTCTAGGCCAGAGGTCTTCTCAGCATGCTGCTCCGCTGATGGCTTTCAGCCTGGTGTCTCCCAAATCCCATCACAGAGTCCAGTTTTCTAAAGGTGAGAATTACCAGTCCCTTGTAGTGCATGCCAGAACATCTCCCTTCCCTAACAAATAAAAACTTGTAAGTACGCAGAGAGCCATCTTTATTTGCATCATATGTTATTCAGTTCTTACTCTGGGGCCTCACGAAGTCACCTGCATGCCATTCTCTAGCCCTTTTCCCTAGTGACAGTCATTAGTCATTGTTTCTGGGTAGTGGGGAAAGCATACAGGGAAAGAATGTAAGAGATGGAAGAAAGGAGTTTCTCCGAAGACCTTGCTTATGTCACCACGGGGTGTCTTTGAACACTATTAACTTTTCAGTGTTTCTTACTTCATTATTGATAATTACGAAGGCAATTCATCAATGCAGCCTCATCATTAAAAATAATTCAAAAATGAAAGAACACTGGCCAGGTGTGGTAGCTCATGCCTGTAATCCCAGCACTTGGGGAGGCTAAAGCAGGCAATTGCTTGAGCTCAGGAGTTCAAGACCAGCCTAGACAACATGGCAAAACCCTGTCTCTACAAAATATACAAAAAAGAAAAAGAAGGAGGAGGAGGAGGAGGAGAACGAGGAGAGGAGAAGAAGAGCCGGGCGTGGTGGCATGCACCTGTAGTCCCAGTTACAGTTACATGGGAGGCTGAGGTGAGAGGATCTCTTGAGCCCAGGAGGCAGAAGTTGCAGTGAACCGAGATGGTGTCACTGCACTCCAGCATGGGTGACAGAGTGAGACCCTGTCTCAAAAATAATAATAATAATAAAACAATTAAAGAACATGGGAAGGAATTGTAGCTACTCAAGTTTCCCCTCCCTGGTTGCTGGAAGTTTTTCTATCTACCACAAGTCTACTAATAGTTACTTTCATCTTTCAAGTTATATTTAAACCCATATTTCACTATCATCATACCAAAAGCATACAGTAATGTAATCCCCTCAATTTAGATCACACCTAGAGCACCTTTTATTTCCCCATCCTCATCCCCACAAGCCCCTCTATCCCAAATCCTGGGTTTGGTGGGAACAATCCATCATTTTAGTTTCAAACTATTACTAAGGGTTTTTCTTCCTTGTCTTCTCTTTCAGAAACTCTTTCTAATTTACAGTAGTTTAAAATCACTTTCTCATCATTCATTTATTTAGTACACGCTTCACTAGATTTATTGCTCTCCACTGTTTCTTGTGCTTTTTGTCTTCCTCTATTGTGAGTTTTAAATTGTTTTGTTCGTTTTTCAAATTTAAGTTTCAATTGCCTAGACTACCTTCTTGGATAGTTTCCATAGGAATGGTTCATGGGATATCTTTGTATATCTGAAAATGTCTGTCTTCTCCCCTCACACTTAAATAACATTTTGGCCACGATTCTTAGATCTGAGAACTTTGTGAGTATTGTTCCATGTCCCTGGGCTTCCCAAGTCGCAAAAGACGCCTTCCTTGGCCTTCTGATTCTCTTTCCTTTTCAGGTAACTGGCTTTGTCGTTGGTTGTTTTTGCATCTGGAATTTTCTAGGATTTTTTTTCTTTTCCTTTGAAGTTCAGAAATTTCACAGCATGTGATTACATCCGGGTCTTTTTTCATATTTCTAGGCACTCGAAGAATGCTTCTGAGCTCAATACTTAAGTCTTCTCTGGGTCAGAGACGTTTTCTTGTTCTGTTTCTTTCTTTATTGATTCTACCCCGTTTCTTCCTTTCTCTTCTTCTGGAACAAATACTCACACACAAGATCTCCTAGCTTTAGCACCACTGCTCTTATCTTCTCACTCATCATTTCCATTTCATTATGTTTTTGTTCTGTGTGGCAACACAGTTTCTCCATTTGACATTCTAGATGACCTCCCCCATGGCCAGCAGTATTTATTCTACATTTTACTTCCTCTGTTGAATTTTAAGTTTAAGATTTTTTTTTTTAATTGCCAAAAGCTTATTCTTAGTTCCAGATCATTTCTTAGTAATATGCTGCTGGATGACCATGGAGGTTATATTTGGTGCTGTGGATTGTTTTAAAGTTCTATTTTCTTGGTCGGGCACCGTGACTCACACCTGTAATCCCAGAACTTTGGGAGGCCGAGGTGGGTGGATCACCTGAGATCAGGACTTCGAGACCAGCCTGGCCAACATGATGAAACGCCATCTCTACTAAAAATACAAAAAATTAGCTGGGTATGGTGGCGGGCACCTGTAATGCCAGCTACTCAGGTGGCTGAGGCAGAAGAACCACTTGAACTCAGGAAGCGGATGTTGCAGTGAGCCAAGATTGTGCCACTACACTCCAGCCTGGGTGAAAAGAACGCAACTTCATCTCAAAAAGAAAGCAAAGTTCTATCTTCTTTGTTCCGTTGTCCTCAGTAGGAGGCACCTGTTTTACTGTTGGTTTTCTCTTTCAGGCCGGCAGCACTCTGAAGAGGGAGGAGAGCCCCCAAATTATCTGGCTGCTCCAGGTATGAACAGATAAGGGCACTTTTCTCCCAGCTCAGGTAAACAGAGTGAGTCTCTCTCTAGGGCAGCCAGCGTCCATAGATTTTACGGCCAGGGCTGGATCCTTCTCTTGTCCTGAGAGAGTGGATCCACCCAGCTCAGGTAACTCAGAGTATCTTGGCTCTGCTAGACAAACACGCTTCTCCCAAGGCCTTTGGCTCCAGGGTTCGAGGAACTCAAAGCCTCTGATGAAGCTGCTTTGGGCTCTAGCAAAAGACCAAACCTCCCCATCCACCATCATTAGCTCATTAGCTTTCTATCCTGTTAGCTGAGTATCCCGGCACAATGGGGAAAAAAAAAAAAGTCAACTTTCACCACTTCAGCCATCACTTTCCAATATGCTCCACAGATAGATAAACATCGATATGAATATATACATTTTTATCAAAGCTATACATGCTGGCCAGGCATGGTGGCTCACGCCTGTAATGCTAACACTTTAGGAGGCCAAGGCAGAAAGATCATTTGAGTCCAGGAGTTCAAGACCAGCATGGGCAACATAGTGAGACCCTGTCTCTACAAAAAAAAAAAATATTCTTAAGGACCAAAGTGGCATGCACCTGTAGTCCTAGCTACTCAGAAGGCTGAGGTCTGGGAGGATCGCTTGAACTCAGGAGATAAAGCTTGCAGCAAGCTGTGATTGTGCCTTTGCACAGCCTGGATAACAGAATGAGACCTTGTTTCAAAAAAAAAGTTGTTATACAAGTGTGGTTTAAAGAAGCGAACCATAAGACTTATTTTGAAAAATAACAGCTCTTACCTCCACACAATGCCCACTCCCCAATGGCAACCACATTCAAGTTTTAGCCTACTTTAAATTTTATATCCATATCTCTAAATAGCATATTTCTACTGCTACTTCTCAACTTCTTAGGTTTGAGCATTAACTATTGACTTCTCACTCTGCAAAGTAAGAATTTACTTCTCTTTAACAACGATCCTAGGACCACCACATCTCCCACCTCCCCTCACCCTTATAGAATTATTTCATTAATTGATACTCAGAGCAAAGGGGTATAGTATACTTCACTTACTTTTGGAGCCATTTAATCCATATGCTCCCCTACTTTCGCTTTTCCTGGAGTTAATAAATCCTTCCAGAATCTCCTTCACTGATACATTAATTGAACGTATCAACTATTCTACCAATTTTCTCATCTGGAGCCATTTTTCTCAGAGTGTTTCCCCATTCCCACCTGGACTGGGTGCTCTCCAGACCTGACGCAACGTTCTCACCTTGGTACCTCATGTCACCATCATCAGGCTAGGATTTGTCTCTTGCTGGAGACTTTCTGTCTCCTACAGTCCACCTCTTCCTTAGTTTACTTTCTAGTTTTGATAGAGCAAAACCTCCGGTAGCTTTCTGAGATTCGTGAGGAAAACATGTTGAGAGTACATGTCTGACTCTTTTTATTCTCAAGACTAATTCATAGTTTTGGCAGCTATGGAATTCCGAGTTGTAAAATGCTTGCCCTCGATATTTTGAGGGTGTCCATTGTCTTCCAGCCACCAGTATCACGCTGAGAAGTCCGAAACCATTCTGATTCTAGATTCCTTATGTGAAATCTCCCCCCAACCATAAGTTTGTTGAATCTTCCCTGTCATCGTGAAATGACTTGATCTTTTGGGGATTTAGGGGACTATTGCAATCAACAAACTCGTATCTTTCCGTTCTGGAAATTTTCTCAGGCTATTTCTTTGAGTTTTCTTCCTTTACATTCTTTGTTTTCTCTTTCTGGAATTCTCTTTATTCAGTTGCTGGAACTAACTCCTGAACTGGGTCTCTGATTTTGTATTCTTTGCTCTCCTGTTTCTTAGCACTTTGTCCTTTTTTTCTACTATTTAGATTTCTTTCATATTCCCTTCAAAGCCTTTTACTAAATTTTGCATTTCTGCTGTCATTGTTTTAACTTCCTAAGGCTCATCTTGTTTTCTGACTGCACCATTTTTATTGCATTTTGTTCTTGTTTCCAAGATGAAATATCTTCTTTTTCTCTCTGAGAATGTTAATAAAAGGGAGAATATTGGTATTAACTAATATTGATAATTTTATTTTTATTTATTTTTACTTTATTTAAATAAATTTTAACATATTAATTATTAAAATATTTCCATCTTTCCACTTAGTCTCTGCTCACAATTTTTTCTTTATTTTTTGGGTTGTTCTTGTTGTTGCTGTTTGTGGTCTAAGCTTACATGAGAGGCTCTTCTCTGACGAAGAGTGACTTATGGATGACTCACGTTTCAGGGGGTATCACTGAAGCCTTGTTAGTCACTCCACAAGCATGAATGAGGCAGGTCAACCTTGGCGAACTTGCTAAACCGTTCACATAGAGAAATCACAGTGTCAATGTTTTGGGGGTTTCTTTCTCAGCTGGTCATGCACAGAGAAGAATCTTCCAAATCCCTGCCTGGAATGTATAAGCTTGGCTTCCGGCCATCTGAAAACAAAATGAGAAAAGAGGACAGAGGGATCTCAGCATTCAGTTGTAAACTTTCACTTATTCTTTTATCTTTTCAGTAAAGTGTCTATGCCCTGAATAGGATGTACCATACCTTGTTACAAAGATCCTCTATCTAGCCATCTCCAGAGAATAAACCTCTGCTGAGGTGAGGATGGACAGAATTTGGTTATTCTGAGTGGGGTAAGGGATCCCAAGTTCCAATAGCTTATTAAACAGACTTCAACCAATCCTCAAGGATTTTTAAAAAATCAACTTTTTTGAGGTACAATTTCCTCAAAAAATTGTCTCTGTGTATACTGTTAAATAAAACAAAAAGAACACATGTAGTTACCACAGGACCTCAGCAACTCGGGGGCTCAAGGCCTGTCCTTTATCAGTCAGGTTCAATAAGAAGACAATACCCACATCAGTTACTTGAACAGAGAGAAGTAATGTAATGAATTATTAACTGAGGCTGGCACAGTGGCTCACATCTGTAATGCCGGCACTTTGGGAGGCAGAGGCAAATGGATCGCTTGAGCCCAGGAGTTTGAGACCATCCCAGGCAACATTCCAAAACCACATCTCTACAAAAAATTTTAAAAACTCGTCAGGTGTGGTGTTGTGTGTCTATAATTCCAGCAACTCAGGAGACAGAGGCAGGAGGATGGCTTGAGCTCAGGAGACAAAGGTTGCAGTGAACCAAGATCACGCCACTGCACTCCAGCCTTGGTGACAGAGTGAGACCCTGTCTCAAAAAATAAATACATAAATAAGAATTATTAACTAGGTATAGAATTGTTGACTGGGTAAGTGAAAGAGTAACTAACTCTAAAATATCACAGAACTAGCAGAAGTAGCTACCATAGCTAGTAGGGCTGTGGTGACAGAGGGAAGAAGTTAGAGGTTGTAAAAACTTGGAAACTGGCCGGACGTGATGGCTCATGCCTGAAATCCCAACACTTTTGGAGGCCGAGGTGGGCAGATCACCTGAGGTCAGGAATTCGAAACCAGCCTGACCAACATGGAGAAACCCCATCTCTGCTAAAAATACAAAATTAGCTGGGCATGGTAGCACATGCCTGTAATCCCAGCTACTCGGGAGGCTGAGGAAGGAGAACCACTTGAACCCAGGAGGCGGAGGTTGCCGTGAGCTGAGATCGCACCACTGCACTCCAGCCCAGGCAACAAGAGCAAATCTCCATCTCAAAAAAAAAAACAAAAAACTTGGAAACTTAGAGGAGGAACCCCTGAAACTCAAACTTCTAAGTTGAGTTTCAGGGGCTCCTCTTCTAAGTTGGATGCTAAAAGCAGGGCCCTATGGGCCTAGGACCCAGACCTCTAAGAAAGGGTACTAGCTAGCTGGTGCTGGCATCTCTGAGTGGGATAGCACAATGAGGCTAATTCTCCAAGTGCAGGGAAAACTGCCAACCGGATGGCAGGGTGAAGACACACCGCTCACAGAAACAGCAAGCAGTGGGGACGCCCACAGAAAGCAACGCCTTGCAGCCTCCCTCTGGCGCCCCCTATCTGCACATTCCAGCCAGGAGCCAGCTGACAAGGTGCACTGAGCACCCCAAAGCTGAGTCTAAGCGTGGGTTTGGAGCTAAGAGACAGTAACTTCATAACTGTCAGCCGGCAATGCCACCTACTCTGCATCACATTTTCCCTGAGATGAGACATACCCGTTTTTTTTGGCGTTTGCACCCATATCACCAGGGCTTCTCCAGCACAGCCCCTGAAACCAACACCTGAGTCACGGGTTAGAGTGATTGAACTGCCCTGATTCTGGCTTTCTGGGGGAGTCATATAATACAAACAGCTTCCATTCCTACCATCATTCCTGGTACACAGCAGGTACCCCCAAAAATTTCTTGAATAAAGCCAGGCCTGTATTCGACTATGTGCTGATTAAACCAAGATAGTTTTGCCTAAAAAAGCATCAACTATTTTTTTAAATAATAATACGCTATTATGGTTTAAGTCTGGCATTCAAATTAGGGCAACCCTTTAGAAAAACAATCTGGTTAAAAGCCATATCCATGAAGATATTAATCATGGTGCTATTTATAGAGTGAGAAATAGTAGCTCATGTGTCCTACAACAGAGGCGTGGTTACGTTGTGAAACCATCTCTCATTAGCATACTATGTCTGCATGTAACACCAGAGTTATGGGAATAGTGGTGTACTATCAAAAAAATACTTACGCTTTGAGGGGGTTGGATACCACAATGGGTAGAGCAGAGATTTCAGAGTCAAAGCTGTCTGGGTCCCAGTGCTAGCTCTATCGCTTATTCGAAGGACAACTGAGACTCCTTGAGCCTTGGTTTCTTTATCTCTAGTATCAGGGAAATGCCTGCTTCCCAGGATTATGTTAAGGATTAAGTGAGAAAGAGAAAGCAATCTATACAAATCTTGGTACATGCCAGGTATTTTTTAAGCAGTGAATGTTTTTAGTGTCTAAAGTAAATATGCAGAATGGAAAGAGGTGGCCGCATTACACTTACAGGGCGCACTGCAGGAAAAAACTAAAAGGAAATATATTTAGATACTAAACAATGATTGTATTGAGGGCTGGAATTATGATTGATTCCCTTTCCCTGTTTTCCAAATTATGTCATAATTCAGTATATGTATTGGATCTCTGTCCCCAGCTTCTGACACAGAGCTCCTAAACCCTTGTAATATCCTGAGTGATGGGATGCTAGGAGCGCCTTTTGTTCTAATATTTAGTCTTAGATCCCTGTTCCTGACACAGCGCTCCTAATTTCCTGGACAATAGGAGTAGGGTTTTTGTTCTAATGAGCTGACTGCTGGTGGGCTCCTGGATAGTATCAGGATGGGGGCTGGCCATAAGAAAGGTCAATGTCTGATTAGAAGCTTGGAACTTTCAGCCCCATCCCCCACACTCTGGGGACGGGAATAGAGCTAAGGGTTGAGTAATAATCTGTCATGCCTGTGTAATCAAGTGTCTGTAAAAATCACGCCTGTAATCCCAGCACTTTGGGAGGCCGAGGCAGACGGATCACGAGGTCAGGAGACTGAGATCATCCTGGCCAACATGGTGAAACTCTGTCTCTACTAAAAATAGAAAAATAGCTGAGTGTGGTGGCGCGTGCCTGTAGTCCCAGCTACTTGGGAGGCTGAAGCAGGAGAATCACTTGAACCTGGGAGGCGGAGGTTGCAGTGAGCCAAGATGCACTCCAGCCTGATGATAGAGTGAGACTCTGTCAAAAAAACAAAAAATAAAATCCCTAAACTACAGGGTAGGCGAGCTTCCCGGTTGGAGAATACATCCACGTGCCAGCGCCAGGAGGGCGGTGCATCACAACTCCATGAGGACAGAAGCTCCTGCACTCAGGACCCTTCCAGACCTCATCCTATTTCCGCTCCATCTGACTATTCATTTCTATCTTGTACAGCCTCCTCTGTGATAAACCAGCAAACCTAAGGAAAGTGGCTCTGAGTTCTGTGAGCCATTAATTATTGAACCCAAGGAGGGAGTGGTGGGAACCCTGGATTTGTGGCCAAACTAGACAGAGCTGTGAGTACCCAATACTTGCTATTGTCATCTGAAATGGGAGCAGTCTTGTGGGACAGAGCCTTTAACCTTCAGGCTCTCCCGTACCCTGGGTAGCTAGTGTCCAAACTAAAATCGTGGGACACCCAGTTGGTGTCTGCAGAGAACTGGGGAATTGTTTTGTGTAGAAAACCCACACATTTGCTGTCAGAAGTGTTGGGTGTAGAGAAATGGTTTTCCTTTGCATATATCATTCATGAAATTTCATACTTTAATAATGGCAAAACAGGCCGGGCACGGTGGCTCACTCCTGTAACCCCAGCTCTTTGGAAGGAGCTCAGAAGTTTGAGACTGGCCTGGGGGAACATAGAAAAACCCCATCTTCACACACAAAAAATTAAAATTACAAATAAAGTATTGTTTTTAATAATGATAATTTTAAATTGTAAAATTATTATTTTAAAATTTAAATGTGGCATGAGCCTGTGGCCCCAGCTACTCAGGAAGCTAAGGCAGGAGAGTGGTTTGAGCTTAGGAGGCAGAGGTTACATGAACAGAGAGAGTGGCACTGCACTCCAGCCTGGGTGGCAGCAGTGAAACCTTGTCAAAAAAAAAAAAAGGCAGATTTATCATTTTTAAGAAGTTATAAGCAAAACATTCCAAAGATCAAGAAAAGCAGTAATTCATTGGTCAGCAAAAAGTCCAAACAGTTGCCTGCCTTCCTGAATAATTCAGTACCAAAGCTATTAGGTGGAGCCGGAAAAGCAGGCATCATGCCGGGACATCAGCAGGGAGGGTGTTTGTCCCAGTAGAGACAAGGGTACCTGTGCTGGCAGTGGTGGCTACATGGAGAGAGTGGTTATACACACAAGCATGATGGAAGACACGCTGAAGGAGAATGGCTTTATAAGTATGGAAAGGGAGGAACTGAATTAACCATGTGATCATGGGTTTGGTAGTAGAGATTTCAGTGTGGACTCAAGGCCTTCAAGATAGACAGGCAGGTAGACAGACAGACAGACAGATAAACAGATACACAGATATAAATGGTGTAGATGTATATTTACATAAACACATAGATATGTACATATACATATATTTGCTAACTCCACTGATGATTTTATTTCCTATAGAATATTATGTATTCAATCAATAGGTTATATATCTTTTTTCATTAAAAGTCTCATTCTTTCCATGTTGCCCATCACCCAAACAGCCTTACAGTTGCTGGTTTAGAATGTTAGAGCTTAAAGGCAAAATCCTGTTCCTGACTCCAGTCCAAGAATCACTGACAAACTCTCAAAAGCAATGAGGGGAGCTAATGCCAAGATCTCTGTTTCTATATCCCCTTCTCCATCAAAAGAAACGACTGTACCTTGGAGAAATGGCCAATGCCACGGGTGGGACAGGAAAACCACAAGATGAGCCAGGAACATCTTGTTTCAGAAAGCGAGGAAGCGCCTAAAGAGTGGAGTGGGGGTCGCAAAAGGACACAGAAGCCTGCTGAAGGGGTGACCCCTCGGCCAAGCTGGGAGATTTTCAGCATCAAAATAAATAATGAGGCCAGGTGCTGTCATCCCAGCACTTTTGGGTACCAAGGCAGGAAGATCACTTGAGGCCAGGAGTTCAAGACCAGCCTGGGCAACATAACAAGACTCAGTCTTAAAAAAAAAAAAAAAAATTAGCTCGGCATGGTGGTGCACACCTGAAGTCCCAGCTATTTGGGAAGATGAGACAGGAGGACTGCTTGAGCCCAAGAGTTCGAGGTGACAGTGAGCTGTAATCACACTGCTGTACCCCAGCCTGGGTGGCAGAGCAAGAGCCTATCTCAAAAATAAATTAATTAACAAAAATAAATTGCAATTAACAAAATAAAACCAAAATAAATAATGAGTAAGATAAAAATCCCTGAATCTATACTAATATAAATAAAAATATGAATAAATAAATACAGAGAAGATAAAGTATTTTTTCTTTTATTACACTTTTTCTGTACAGAAGATGCCAACTAATAAACGCAGAAGTATTAGTGAACTTGGCAACTATCACAGTAATAATTAGGCCAAGAAACATCCATGATGCTAAAACTAGTGGGAGGAAGTTTGCTGAAGATGAAGAAACTTAAGGATCTCTCCATAAAGTGCTTTTCAATTACAAAGAGGAAAAAAGTAATTTACCTTGGAGAAGACTGGCACACACCATCTTAAGCCATCAGAGTTAGCATCACCGGTCATGGAACAAATTGAGATGGTGCAGGCCCTGACGGGATGCCATAGGAAGAATACAGCATGGTGTCCATGATTTTCCTGCTGGAAATGCAGAACCAGAATCGATTCATGAAGAAACATCGGCAAACCCCATCTGAGGGACGTTCTACTAAATTACTGACGTGTCACCCTCGCAAGTGTCAAGGTCATGGAAATCAAGACGGAGGAACTATTTTAGATTCGAGAACACTAACCAGACATGACAGCCGCACGCAAGCATGCCTGAGTCTGAACTGGAGCCTTTGCTCTAAAGGACATCATCAGGACAACTGGGAAAACTCATGGGGTCTGAGGACTCGATGGCAGCAACGTATTGAGATGAAATTCCTGGTGTTAATGGCTGCATTGTGGTTATGTGAGAGAGCGAATGTCCTTGTTTGTAGGAAATACACATTAAAGAATTTAGGAGTGAGGGGCCATCAGGCCAGCAACTTACTCCCAAATGATACAGGAAAAAAAAAAATTCTTGCAACTTTTTCATAGGTTAGAAATTATTTCAAAGAGAAAAAAAAATCCAAAAACTTTATTTTGGCTGTGGCTGAAAGCTCCGACTCTTCCTTTATCTTACTAAAGGCAAAGGCTACAGCCAGTTCAGGCGGCCAAACCTGTTCAACCTGACTGTCTCCGGGCAGATTGCCAGGTGCGGGCAGACAAGCGCCTCCCGCCTCCCGGTGTAGGGGTTCAGGCCCCAGGCTGGCCAGGGAGGGCTGGCTGCTGGCTGCGGGCCAAGGCTCCAGTGAGGAGCCTCAGCACTGAGCATCCAGGAGGAGGTCAGACGCCTGAGGCCTCTGTGGCTTGGAACAGGAAGCAAAACAAATGGGGACTTTTCCTACCCTCCACTGGGACCAAGACCTTCTCATCAGGCCCTGAGGGCTCAGAGAAGGAGGAGCCTGGGGAAGGGAGGAAGGGAGAGGAAGAGAGGAGCACCTTTGCTCTCTGGTATTATCACATTATATATATATATATATATATATATATATATATATATATATATATAGTATTCATTTTATCTAAGTCACCAGACCCTGTTGTCCTTGGCCCTCTATGCCATTTCCCTACACTGTTTCCCCAGCAGGGGTGGCAGGGCCCGGCCAGCACAGTTGCCAGTGGAACCAGGAGAAGGCTGCCTTGCAAACCCGTGTTCAGTGGCCCGTCACTAAGGGTTTCTGAGGTTTGTTTTTCCCTATAGCAAAGCTGCTGCTTCACTTTTTGCATATTTTAACAGGTTTGATGTTTCCCCAGGATAGTCCCATAAATTTCAGAAATGGAAAAAGCAGTGTTTGCTGATGCATATCTTCTCCATACAACTGTGAGCTGCTAAAGGCAAGTGCTGTGCAAACTCACTTTTCTACCCACTCCCTCCCAGTGCCTAAGAAGGCTCGGTCCACAGCAGGCACTCAATGAACGTTTGTTTCTGTTCGGGTGTGTGTGTGTTCCTGCACTGCCTTTTTCTGCACATCTGGGAGGCAAAGAGAAAAGTCTCATCACCACGCCACTTCCCTCCATGTTTCAGCCTGCAAAGGCTCTCTCTGAGGCACCTAATTCCTAAATAAGGTCGTTCATGTTAGTGACTGTCTAGAGCAGTGTGCTTAGTTCCCAAAGGATGGATAAGCCATCGTTATCTGCCATAAGAAACAGGAGAGACGGTGGCTCCCAGCGATAAGGAGCCGGGCAATGGGCATGTGCCTAGTGTGGCTGAAACATTGACACAGGCTCGCCTCCACCCCACCCTCTCATGAGCACTGTCCATTGTACTGAACGGTCACAGTTTGCAGCAACAGGGGATGATGGACACCGCTCAGAGTCAGAGGTGTCAGAAAGAGGGTTAAAATAGGAATGTCCACTCCTCAGGTGTTCTCTAAAACCTGGTGGAAAGCGCAACTGGGTCCTCACTAGTGACTGCGATGATCTAGTTAAAGAACAGAGGCTCTCCGGAAATCAGAGATGGGCTCTGAACTGGCAGGCTAGCTTCAGGAGCTCTGATGGAGGTGATGGGGGTCCCCAGGCTGGGCAGGCTCTAGGGCTGGGGGTTCTGTCCCCAACAGCAGCAGCAGCAGCAGCAGCTGTGAAGGCAATGCCTTCGGGGGCTTGCTGGCCCTTTTCAAGCTGTGCTATCTAAAAAGCATCTCTGCATCATACAGCCCACGTCAACAACATTTCGGCCCACAGAACTGGAATGCTTCATTCAGCCCCAGGGCCTTCACTTCTGAGATCCAGTTACTAGCAACGGGCATAGTGATAAGGTGGCAGCCAGGTGCGTGTCTGATCCTGCCTGGGTCCAGCATCTGACCCCAATGTGACCTCCCTCCTCTCCGACCTGGGCCTGACTCATGCTTCCAGAACAGGAACTCAAGGATCCCTGCTGCCCAGCCATAGTTGACTCATAGCTGGTCCAGGAGTTGCTCTGGAAGGGGCTCAGGACAGCTGTCAGCTCTCGAGGAGGACACACCTGTCATTTCCTGAGCACCTACCATGTGCTAGGTACCAGGCACACCTCTGAATTTCATTGGTACCATTACCTTGTAGGGGATTTCTGATCTTTCCTAGAAAGGGGAAAAGTGAGGATCAGGCAGAAGTGAATTCAAAGGCCAATCTCCCAGCACTGAGCACAGCCATCCACTCACCCTCAGTGAATTCCCTGGGGCCAGTCAGCACCATCCCTGGGAACTGCTGTTTCTTTAAAAAAAAAAAAAAAAAAAATTGGGCCAGGCGTGGTGGCTCATGCCTGTAATCCCAGCACTTTGGGAGGCCAAGACAAGGCGGATCACTTGAGGTCAGGAGTTCGAGACCAGCCTGGCCAACATGGTGAATCCCATCTCTACTGAAAATAAACACCAAAAAAATCAGCCAGGAGTGGTGGCACATACCTATAATCCCAGCTACCTGGGAGGCTGAGGCATGAGAATCACTTTAACCCAGGAGGCAGAGATTGCAGTAAGCTGAGATTGTGACACTGCACTCCAGCCTGGGTGACAGAGCAAGACTGTCTCAAAAAAAAAAAGTGTAGAGACTGTGTCACCAAGGCTGGTCTCCAACTCCTGGGCTCAAGCCATCCTCCTGCCTCGGCTTCCCAAAGCCCTGGGATTACAGGTGTGAGCCCCCTCACCCAGCCCCACTGTTTCTTCACTCATTCCTCCAGCCCACAGTCATCGAGGGCTTCCTCCCCTCTGCTTCATGCCCAGTCAGTCCCAGCAGGCAGACTTTGGGAAGCCCATCAGCTCTCCTGAAGGAGCCAGGCTTGGCTGGGAAAGGGGGCACCTGGACCCCAAGTCCACCAAGGCAGCGACAGGTGTCCCTACTCCTTGCAATCCTCTCTCAGCCATGGGGTGGGGCTAGCATGGCCTCCGTGGCTGCAGAGGGGTCTCTGGCCTGGACTGCAGCATCGTCTTGGCCGCATACCCCTGCACCCCGCAGGTGCTTCGGGGAGGCATCCTTGCTCTTCCCTGGCATCAGCCCTACAGTGGGTGAGCAGGTGAGGAGGCAGAGGCAACAAGACTACCTCTCATTCCTGTGGTTTCAGGTGCCTGGTTGATGTCAGGCCTGAGTGATGTGGCAGCAGGATGGGAGGGTGTCACTGTGTCTGGGGCCTGAGTGGGGGTGAGGCTTTTCCTTAAAAGCTTATAAATCATTAAATATGTCCCCTTTCAGCACAGCTACTTCCCTCGGGCCCTGCTCACTGCTCACACGTGCCTTTATGGCACCACAGACCTCCCCAGGGGGGTCTCATATCCCTCGAAAGTGCAGTGAATACAGGTGTGTGCACATAACTCACACAGGCAGATAGTCCCTCTTAGGCACACAGGTGCATGCTATGAGCAGCCTTGTGCAAGTGCCCACAGCCCCTCCCACCTCACACATGTCCACGTGGCTTCATGCTATTCCCATGCTCACTGGCATCCCCAGGCACAGACGAGCACACACTTGTCAGGGCACTTAATCTCCAAGTATGCAGGAAACACCTGACTTTGTGCTATCACACATGCTCCCGAATGTACACACTCACAAATATATAAAGTCCGCAGGAGCCTGAATTCCATCACACACCTGCACACTCATGTGCACTCAGCACTCACACACACACAGCGGTTCCCCGGGGTGATGCTGGCGGGCTGTGCCCTGCCTGGGCACACCCATCCAGGCAGTAGGTACACACTCATATCATGCACACACACCAGACGCACACATGCATGCATAAACAGTAGACTATGCCCAGGTGTCCACACAGCATTCACATGCTTATCCCCACCCCTAGACATACAGGTGGGACCTTCAGGACATCAGGAGTGAGAGTACAGCACAGAGGGAACTGCAGCAGGCAGGATGCTGCAATTCCCAGCCTCACCTCTGGGGGCCGCTGTCGGGTCCACAGCCCAGCCCTGGGCTCTGAAGGGCAGGAGCCTGCCTGAGGCACAGTCCCATTGGCCTGAGTCAGCAGGTGGCACAGCTCAGGCTGGACCCAGCCAGCCTCTAGGAGGGAGGAGAGGGACATTGTGGTGGCCCTGGTCTCCCTGCAGGGTATGGGATGAACTCTGCTGCCCAGATGGGCAGGGGCTGCAAAAAGGAAGAACGGGCAGCTTGAACTCAGGGAGGGCGTCTGCGGTGGGGCAAGTAGTTGAAGAGAACTCTGGAGGCTGGAGGAGGAGATGGGAAAGGGAAGGGCGGGGGGTTAAGGAAGAAATAAAGGAGACAGAGGGCAGGACTGCGGGGAGGAGGACGAAAAGGTTGAGGCCAGGAGGGGAGTGAGAGAGAAGAGAAGAAGAGAAGGAAATGTGAGGAGAGAAGAGCGGCCAGAAGGGGACAGAGCAGCGTGGGGGTGTGAGGAAGGAGGAGAGGGATGGGCACGCCCTGCATCACCAGCCATCCAGCCTCCCCGTCCTGCCAGCCCCATCTCCCGTCAGGACAGACAGGCCAGGGCCCTGCTGCACTGCACCACCTCCCTTCTCCAGACCCAGCACCTCAGCATCCCTGGATTTTGAGATCCAAAAGGCAGAGCTCAACTTACCCTGCATGGAAGGCAGTGACTCACACAGATGAGCCTG